CCAGGCAAGATCTTATAAGGTGTCTTTAACTGGTTTTGAAGTGTGTGATGGTGCGTCATCATGAAGCAAACGATCAAAGCGTGGTTCAAATTGATTATTTGTTGTCGGTAGCGATCAGTATTAACCGTTTCACCTGGTTTGAGAAACTTATAATACACCACACCTTCCTGATCCCACCAAATGCAGAGCATTGTCTTCTTTCCAAAGCGATTTGGCCTTGCAGTTGATGTTGATGGTTGACCTGGATCAACCCATAATTTTGTGCATTTGGGATTCTCAAAATAAATCCACTTTTCATCGCCAGTCACAATTCGATGCAAAAAAGACTTTCTTTCGTGCCGCTGAAGCAACATTTTACTGATGACTTTCCGGTTTTCCATTTGTCTTTCGTTCAGTTGATGAGGCACCCATTTTCCTTCCTTTAAAATCTTTCCCATTGCTTGTAAATGATTGGAAATTGTTTGCTGAGCAACGTTTAATCTCTCTGCAAGTTGTCTTTGAGTTTAACACGCATCTTCATCCAATAATGCTTGTAATTGTTGGTCTTCAAACTTTTTCGGTTGACCTGGATGTTCTTTGTCTTTCACATCGAAATCATCACTTTCGAAGCGTTTAAGCCAGCGTTCACAAGTATCTTGAGATGGAGCATGTTCACCATAAGCTTCCCGAAGTATTCGGCAGCACTTTTCTTCAAAATAAAGTAATGAATTAAAACTTCCCGCAAATGCTCTTTTTTTGGCACGAAATTCGACATTTTAAGCATAAAAATATCTATGATGTCAACACCTTCAGCAAATTTGACATGAAGTTTTGAAGCTTGTTGTCAATACAACGAAATAGCATACCTATCAAATCGCATATATATCAACATATGTGTAACTCCATCTATTGAAAAAAATCCGCATTAGTAACTGGTACACCTAGTCAATGTCCCTGCACCTTCCTTTCCTTGCCAGTAAAATGTAAATAAGACTCTTTAGGGCTGCTGGGAGGGTCCCGTGAGATGAGGTGCCTGGCCTCTAGTAAATACTCAGAAACGGAGAATTGGTATCGATATTATTGCTACTGCTCCTGCATGACGACCCGAACCTGACAGATGACAGTTCACAGGTACCAGGAGACAAGGCAGTGCCCCAGTGTAAGAAGAGTTCTGGTTTCCAGCCAGAAGTCCCAAGTTCAAATCTCACGGCTGCCACTTACACCTGGGTGACCCTGGGAATCTGACTAAGCTCTCTGAGCTGAAAGGGGACAGCAATGTGCTGCAAGACTCCAGGAGATGGTGTGTGAAAGGGCCCAGGTCCAAGCCCGGCACAGAGCAGGCCTCAGCAGGTTCTGCTGCTGCTGAATTAAATTGATGTGAGGATGTAAGTCTTAGAAAAAAGATCTGCAACTGTGTGCTACGTCAGTGGGGCTTGAGGCTTGACTGAGTCACAGGCTACTGAGCAGAACCCTACTACAGCCACCAGAAGGGTCTTAATGACACAGTGTGAGGGAAGGCTGGGCCCAGGGCAATTGCTTGTCCAGTGGTGAAGAAAAACCAAGAGCCTGGGGGTCTGTGATGTGATATAAATAGAGATCCCAGGAAACAGAAGACTGTGGAGGCAGGACTGGCCCAGGCTGTGAGCCAGGAGGAGGGAATTTTGTGTGAGGGAGGCGGGTGCTGCTGGAGACTGGCTGGGCCCCCTGGATGCTGCCTGCATTTGCAGGCCACGTGCCTACACCAGGCCCTGGGCTTTAGAAACTTTCAGTTTGCAGTCTGCCCGGCCGGGGTGGGGGCGTGGGGGATGTAAGTGACTGCATCTACCTCTGATAAGCTGTCCCAAACTCTCCTCTTTGAGGCCTCCTCAGGGCCTTCTGTGTCTCTGTCTTTGACCTGGGAGCAGCTCTCAAACCCAATCACCTCCCTACCCTGAGTGCCTGGTGCCCTGCTGGGCCTTTTTAATGGGCACATGATAGGGGAGGTGGTCTCTGGTTGGGCTGTGCCACCTCAGGCAGTGGAGTGTCAGGTGAACCCTAACCTATCCGCAGTTGGGGCCTCAGGGTTCAGGCTGGGGTGGGGTGGCCTTGCTGAATCCCACTCCTCTCCCCACTGAACAGCCACAGACCACAGTGGCCTGCGGTTCAGATGGGTCATCTGCACACAGGGCTCTAGGCAGCCACCAATCACTACATGGCCTTGGCAAGTCCTTCCTCCTCTCTGGGCCTCAGTTTCCCAGCTGTACAACGAGGCCACACCTCCCAGTCATCTTGAGTCCTATCGCACGCCTTCTCAGTCGGAACCCTCGTACAAGACAGTCTCCCAGGTTCCTGTGAACTGAAAGGTTCTAAAAGCCCGGGGGCTGGTGCAGGCACGTGCCCTGCAAATGCAAGTGGGATCAAGGGGGTCCAGCCAGTCTCGGAAGTACCTGGCTACCTTACCCCTGCCAGTCATGCCACTCCTTCTTTCCCTGGGTGACTTTCATGACCCTATCTGACGTCCCCTCCTCCTGGCTCCAGCCTGCCCCTCATCCTCTCTCTCCAGTTGGTCTAACACAGGGACCCCCTCCAAGGGCACCTGCGGGCTTCCTGGGGCCTTTTGGGAATGCTGGCCCTGCAGATGGAGATCTCAGGTTCCCTGGAGAAGTACTTAGTGGGAGGGATAGACTTTTCTCTCCATGGCCAGCCACCTGTGACATGCCACCTGCTCTATGTCCACAGATCGGTCCCTGCGAGGTAAAAGGGTGCCTTCTTCAGCCTCTGACTTACCTGGCACCTTGGCGTCATTGCAGATTTCTGCAAAAGGTCTGAAAAAGAAATGAGGTGGCAGTTAGGAAATGAGGTTTTTTTCTTTTCCTTCTCACCTGATACGCCCCGAATCTGGACATCTCGTATATAAATAATGTGAGATGAGATGCCACCACTGCTGCTGGAGTGTAGCCAGGTAAGACCCAGCCAGTCTGGTCTCTATTTAAAGTGCCGTGTGTCAGGCAAATGGCCCCTGGGGGCCTGGTTCCCTCGTCTACAAAGCGAGGGTGTGGTCTGACCCAGTGATCCGAAATGTGTGCCTCGGTTTATGTAAATAGGCATTCATTACAGCATTATTTATTTATTTATTTATTTAACAAATCTTTTATTTTTTATTTGATTATTTTACTTGCAGCATTATTTATATAAACCAAAAAAATTTAGACGCAACTCAAATGTCCCTCAGCAGAGACAGTATGGCCCATCGTACAGTCATTAAAGGGAATTATCTTGGACACAAATAACGCTCAAGTGCAACCACGACAGCCAGACAGGAGACATCGAGTTTTATTTAGTTTATAGATAAATACTGTGTGACCTCAGTTTCATTTTCTCCAAAAGCATGTCTAAGAGGCATTTAAAAAAAAGGGGAAACATGGCTGGAAAGCCCCTGCGTGTCTGTGGTGGTTTTCTCTGGGAAGTCAGCCTGTGGGGTGCGGGGGGGGGGGGGGGGGGCGGGGGGAAGGGCTCCTACGATCTCCTGTATTTTCCAGTGGTTACTTCAGGGGGTGGGGGTGGGGGAGAATGGAAACCTCTATTCTTCATTGGAGACCTTTCTGAATGATTTGATTTTTTTGTACACATTCAAATATTATTTTATTTTTAAAACTGAAAAGGAAATATGCGTAGGGGAAAAATATGGAACACACCACAATGTGAACTCTGAAGAGGAGAGTTATGGATTATCTTCTTTTCTTCTACCTTTTTAGATTTCCCTAATTTGTTTTTAAATCTGAACATAATCAAATAACTATTCTATTTAAAATATTATAAGGATACTAGTGGCCTGGTGCATAAAACTCGTGCACATTAAAAGGGGACTAATTAGAGGAAATATTTTAATATTGCTATTTGCCCTTTCTCTATAATAGAAGTGTCAGAGATGAAAGAAAATTAGTAAAATGTATATGAAAATCTCTTCCTCCTGTCAGAGTCTGGGGTGCACCATGGGATGTAGAGTCAAGTCCCCGCCTACCCATGTGCACCTCAAAATCACGCGAGACCCAGACCCGGCCGGCTCCTCCCAATTGGGCTAGATCCAGACCCTGCCGGTCCCACCCCTGTCAAGTCCCGCTGGGCAGGGGGCACAGCCTTAGGTCCCTGGCCTGGTGCCGGGGCGGGGGATGTAGCCTGAGGTCCCCCAGCCCAGGCCGGGTTGGGGGGCATGCCTTGAGGTCCCCCATCAATCCTCGCCAGGCGGGAGACGCGGCCTGAGATCCCCTGTCAAGCCCTGCTGGGCAGGGGGCGTGGCCTGAAGTCCCCCATCAAGCCCTGCTGGGCAGGGGGCACAGTCTCAGGTCCCCCGTCAAGCCCCACTGGGCAGGGGGCACACCTTGAGGTCCCCCGTTAAGCCCTGCCAGGAGGGGGGCACAGTCTCAGGTACCCCGTCAAGCCCCACTGGGTGGGGGGCGTGACCTGAGGTCCCCAGGCCCGGGGAGAGAGGAGCAGCCTGAGGTCCCCCAGCCCAGCACTGGGGCGGGGGGGCACGGCCTCAGGTCCCCAGTCTTGGAGCCGGGGCGGGGGGCGTTGCCTGAGGTCCCCCAGCCTGGCACCGGGGCAGGGGGCGTGGCCTGAGGTCCCCGTCAAGCTCCACGGGGGCGGGTGTGGGGGAGGTCAAAGCCTCAGGTCCCTGCTGATTGCTCGTTAAGGCTCATTACGGGAACTTGGCCTCCCCTGTGGGTGCAGCCATCTTGTGTTATGGAAACCGCCCCCTCCGCTGTGGGCTCCGCCATATTTGTGGCAGAGTGACGGTCAATTTGCATACCCCTATTTGTTATATAGGATATGGTAAAATATGGACAAAAATAAAAATAAAATATCTCTGGGTGATGAAAAGACTGTTATTGTATAAATACCATTAAAATGGGTAAAAATTAATGATAGAGTCAGAAAGTCAAATTTAATTAAAAATTTAAAAATAAACAAACACCCATGACTGTTGCGGCTGTGTTTTAGCAGAACGGGGTTGGAATCAGGACACCTGGTGATACAGACTAAATATCTGTGTCCCCCAAATTCAATGTTGAAACCTAGTCCCCAAGGTGACGGTATTAGAAGGTGATAGGTCACGAGGGTGGAGCCCTGGTGAATGGGATGGCTACCTTATAAAAGAGCTCCCAGAGCACTCCCTTGTCCCTTCCACCATGTGAGGACACAGGGAGAAGGTGGTCATCCATAAACCAGAAAGTGGGCCCTCACCAGACACTGTGTCTGCGGGCACCTTCCCAGCCCCCGGAACCATGAGAAATACATTTCTGTTAAGCCACCTGGTCTATGGTATTGTTACAGCAGCCTGGACAGGCTAAGATACCTGTGTCTGGAGCCAAGCTGACTCATACTGACTTTCACCATCCCTTTCCTGATCTGGGTACCGGTTTTCTCAGCTTTAAGATTCGAGTGTTAAGCTAGCCGCATTCTGGATTCTGTGCAAGTGCATGATGGGTCTCTCAATCTCCCTCTCCCCTTCCCCAGTCTTGGCTGGGGGCCTGCTTGGGGATTCCCCTCCTGGATCCAGGCAGCACCCTCTCCCTCGGCCACTCTTCCCACCCTGCCTCAGGGCTGGGGCACTCACTGGAGCTGGTTGATGATGACCATTCGGACATGCTCCCGGGCCTTCAGGATCTTCTCCAGCCGGTGGATGTCGTATGTGTTGGGGTTCCGGAAAGGGATGTCATCAGGCAGGCCTGTGACCTCGACGGCGTCTGGGCTGTCCCGGATCAGTTTGTAAGGGACCAGCACAGGCCGGTTCAGGCCCAGGGCCTCACCTAGGGGACACAGAGGGTCAGGGTAAGGAGAAGATGTGCCCTGTTAAGGCCAAGCCCTCTGGGAAAGGGCTGGAACCTGGCAGGGCCCAGCACAGCAGCCATCACACCCCCGAGAGTTTTAAAGTCAACACAAACACACCATTTAAAGATCCAATTAGCAAAACTACACATCTAACACCCAATGCTGATAATGAAACAGGTATCGTCACACATGCCGGGTGCAAGGATTTGTCAAGTGTGCACACCTGGAACTGACAAATGAGGGCTTGATAGCTGCTGAGAACCCACTGCTTTTATTCAGAAAAGATTAAGTCCTTAAGTATCAGGGATGAAATGATGTGATGTCTTGGATTCACTTTAAAGTTTTAAAAGTATCAAAGTGAGTTTGCAGAAAAAGATAAAATAAGACTGGCAACATGCTGGTCATCACAGAAGCCGGGTTTGGGTTACGGGGTGGGCCGCCATGTCATTCTTTCTGCTTCTGTGTATGTTTGAAAACTGGTTCCAAAATAAAAAGTGAAAAAGACAACAGCACAAACCCCCAGTTTGTGGCTTCCCATTTACTCTCAAAATGAAACCCTGACTCACCTCAGGCCTGCCCACGTCCCCGCCGCACCGGGAACCTCACCCACCTGCGTGCTCTGCTCCAGCCCTCCGCCCTCCCGCTGGTCCCTCTGCCTGGCAAGCTTTTCCTCCAGTGTTTGTCCCCGCTTGACATTAAAGTCTCAGCTAAAATGCCCCCTCTTCAAGAGGCTTTCCTGATCACCTAACCAGAGAGGCCTTGGCCTCCCACTCCTAACCACCCCGCCCCCCCCTCATTCTCGGAAATTCTTCTCTCTCTGAAATTCTTCTTTGTAAAAAATTTACTGTATGTCTCCTCTGCTACAAGGTAAAATGGAGAGAGTACAATATTCATCACAAATAAAGTGTAAATGCACGTAGAGCACTTGGTACAGCCTGACACTCCATAATCTAGAAAGTGCTGTATCAATTTAACTATATCAACGGTCCCACCCTGGGCTCTGCCTTCAGCACAGGGCCTCGCATCTCCTGGCTCTCATCTTCCCATGCCCATCTCCCTCTGGGGCCTGAGCCCCTGATGGCTGGAGCAGACTCCTTCCTCTGGAGTCCTCAGGGCTGAGCACTGGTTGGGCGGACGGGTATGTGCATAAATAAGTCCTTGGCCGTGGGCCATGGCCTCTGCCACACAGCCCAGGCCTGGAGGAGCAGAAATGCTGACTGCTGTCGCTGCCCTGCATACCACAGACTGGGTTCTTTCCCCTTCTCGGAGAGGGGCACTGAAGGATCAGTTCCCATCAGTCACGGGCAGAGCAACTATGTCCTCAGGCAGAGCTGGCAGGCCAGCTGGGGGCAACTGGAGGCCAGGCTGGCTGCAGAGGGAGGAGGGGCCACCCAGGAAGACTGGCCCCACAGATCCTGCCCCAGGGGCCCCACCCCGGGAAACTGACCGTATTTCTCATTGAAGAGCTCCTTCACCTGCTCCCGAAGGATCACCTTCTCCCCGAGTCTGTTGGCATCATCTTCATCTACAAGAGGAAGACATGGGGGCATGAGGGTTGGCATGGGCTTGGCCACTGCACCTGCTCCCTCTCCTATGTGGCACCCCTGACCCTCACCGGCTGGAGCAGTCTCCCCAGGCCCCACCCACTTCCCTGCAGCCTGCTTCGGTCCCCATCCACCCATCCATCCATCCATCCATCCATCCATCCATCCATCCATCCATCCATCCATCCCACGTTCTCTGAACAGCTCCTCCAGCACAGGCCTCATGTGAAGCACGGAACAGCCTGAGGAGAGGGAGGCAGGGCCCCTCCCCTGAGGCACACACAGCTTAGGGGGGTGGCACACAGTCACAGCGCCCACCCAGAAGAGACACCTACAAGGAGACATGGGGCATGCATCGTGCAAGTCCGGAGAGGCTCCCTGGGAGAGCGAGCTGTTTAAGGGGTGTCTCTCCTTCTGTTAGAAGGCTGATGAGGGTGGAGTGGGGTTGGGAAAAGGCACCCAGGCACAAGGACTGGCCCATGCATGGCACCCAAGGGTGCACGGTCACAGCACACTGGATGTGGCTGAAGCACAGGCTGGTGCTAGGGGAAGCGGCTGTGAGGGGTCCAGCAGCGGGTGCCAGTGTGACTGAACCGGACTCACAGGCACTCACCCTGCCTGCCTCACAGTCCACCAGCCCCAGGCCCGTGTCAGGGAGACAGAACGCACCAGGGCAGCTCTTCATGGGGCTTGGACCTTGTGTTCCCCTCACCCCTCTCCTTGGCTTAGAAGAGCAGCTGGGTCAGGGGAGCCCCAGAGATAGGGCCTGGGCTGGGGGATGTCGAGTGTAGGAGAGGCCAGGGGAGTGGACGGCATGAAGAGGGTCCCGGGTCAGCAGCCTGCTGGCTTGTGGCCTGAGCTGGGGAGAGAGCTGGAGTTCCAGGAAGGGCACTTTGTACCATCACACAGTAACCACACTGGCTGGGCCTCGGGCCCGGGCTGGGGGCGGAGCTGGACACTGGCAGGGAGCCAGGGCCTGGGAGATAAGGGGCAGAACGGATAGAATGGGTCTGTGGAGAAAAACAACGCCTGCTTTAATCTGGAAAACCTCACAGAACTCAGTGCCATTTAGAAGGCCGACGGGAACGGCGTTTCCCAGGCCCTGTATCTCTCAGCATCTGCGGCCCCTGCCTGCACATCTCTCTCCCCCAGTCTGGGGGCCGCCCCACAGGCCGGGGAGCTTTCCATCCTGCCTGCTGATGCCCCACCTCCCCACGCTCCTTCACCTGCTGCCCCTTGTCTGGCCCTGCTCATGGCCACCCTCCTGACTATGGAATCTAGATCTGTCGGATCTACAAGTTCCTGCCTCTCTCTTTTCAGCTATCAGGGTGTCTGAGACACCCAAAACACCAGGCAGCCCAGTTAACCTCCTCCTGTGTCCCCATCTCAGGGAGCGATGGCTCTATTCCGCTGCACCAAGACCCAAACCTCAGCCCCTCCAGAGCCCTCCCTCCCACAAGCCCCACCACGGTCCCTCCACATGGTCTCCAGGACCCTAGACGCGGCTACAACGGACTTGATCCTTCTCCAGGTCCCGGGAAGACAACTGACAGAGTCCTGGGCCCAAGGACCACCGAGAGCCTTCAGGGAAGTGGCAGACACTTTCCACTCGTCCCCCTGCAACAGGGATTCCTCTGGTGGGCAGGACTCTGCACAGGCGTGACAGCTCCGCAAACCGGGGAAGGGGGCTGGGTTCACACCACTGTGTGCCAGACGCTTAGCTGACACCTTTCCCAGACACCACCACGGCCCCTCCTCACCACAGCCCAGGGTACAGAGGTTCAGAGAGGTTACGTAACTTGCCCAACCGCACACAGCTGGGAAGCGCCAGGAATAGTGTCCGACCCCGAACCCTGCTCTTTCACTCCCCCACAAACCCCGGGTTTCCTCAAGTCTCTGTCTCCCCATCTACACAAAGAGGAGCTGATCTTTAAGGTGTTTCCTCTTAATTTTTTGCTGTATCAGCTCATAGTTCCAGGTCTGTCTCCTCTTGAGCCCAGGGAAAGGCTGGATTTATAGTAGGTTCTCGACAAAGCCTGCTGGATTGAAAGGAAGTGGACAGCAGTCAAAGGTGAGCCCGACAGCTGAGGTTGCTGTGGTCGTCTGACCAGGCCGTCTCTGTGGAGTCTGAGTGTGCCTGTCGCATGCACCCACCCTGCCTCCTCCGGAGGCTCCTGCTGCCCCGTGGGTGGAGAGAGACCAAGACAAGACAGCCTCCTCACCTTGGGAGAGGCGATGCCAGACCCCAGAGGGCACAGGACTCGGGAGTCAGAAACCTGAGTCATGTGACGTCAGCTCTCAGCACTTCTGCTCACTGCTCCTTTGTCTCCTGAACAAATATTTCATGAGCGCGGTCCCACTTGGACTAGGTGCTGTTCCTGGGCACTTAGCAGAGCACAGGAAACAGCCCTCGTCCGAGGCAGGAGAGGGTGAGGAACGTGTGGTGACCCGCCGGCTTGAACACCGCTATGTGAGGACCGTGCCAGGCCCACAACAGTTACCACTGGGTTCTCCAGCCTCAGCTTCTCCTCACCTCTTCGTTTTTATTTAATTTGGAGGAAAGATGGCCCTTTTTTCGTAAAGGATCAGTTGAATAAATGGGCCAGTAGGTTCTGGGGGTGGGAGGGCTGGAGGGGAGGGTGCCCCTGCCCCTCTGGGCACTCAGAGGAAACAGGAGGCAGCTCCTCGGGCTGTGGGGGCAAAGGAGTGACCCCCTTTCTGGGAGGAAACCCGAACCAGAGGGGAAGGGGCCCCTCCATGTTCCTGTCCCAGCCCCAACCTGCCCAGCTCTGTGATGGGGAGAGGGCAACGTGACCCTCAGAACATACTGGTGTTGGGGCTTGGAGGTGTCAAGGACAGAGCTGGTCTCCCTGACGTGAATCGTGGTCAAAGTCCCTGGCTGATGCAGCTTGGCCCGGCATCTGGTTACCCCTGGGTAAAGAATGGGGGCAGGGGGACGGGAGCTACACGCCATGGTCTAAAGCAGCGGTTCTCAACCTTCCTAATGCCGTGACCATTTAATACAGCTCCTCATGTTGTGGTGACCCCCAACCATAACATTATTTTCGTTGCTACTTCATAACTGTAATTTTGCTACTGTTATGAATCATAATGTAAATATCTGATATGCAGGATGTATTTTCATTGTTACAAATTGAACATAATTAGAGCATAGTGATTAATCACAAAAACAATATGTAATTATATATGTGTTTTCCGATGGTCTTAGGCGACCCCTGTGAAAGGGTCGTTCGACCGCCAAAGGGGTCTCGACCCACAGGTTGAGAACCACTGGTCTAAAGGCTAGTTATTACTATTCTGAACCCTGAGTCAGCAAACCTATTCTGGGGATTTAGAATAAACCACGCCTCCTGTGCACCTCTGAACCTAGGTTGGCTGTAAAAGACACCAATAGCGGCAACACTGCAGAATGTTCTCCATTTGGAAACATAATTAAGGGGCTCAATGTGGAGTGTGAGTGTGTGTGTGTGTGTGGCCTTAAAGTATCTGCTTGAATGCCTACATACAGTGGGGTAGAAGGGACAGTGACAGGAAAGGTCCCTGGCTCAGTAGATTACAAAGCCATCTTGATTGTAACCCTAATGCTGTGTGACATTTGGAAAATCACTCAACCTCTCTGGGCCTTTGTTTCCACATCCTGCAACTAGGAATCCTAGCCTGTTGGGAGGATCTAATCATGTCACATAAAAAAACTTTAAGGTCTCAAGCCATCAAAATCAAATTGTTACTGATGGCATTACTAGACCAATGCCTCAATTATCCTGTGGTCTCAGGAAATGAAATTTTACAGGAGACTCTTCCAGATAATGGAAGTTTATTCTCAAACCTCTGGGTTTGATTTTCCCATTTTAGGTAGAACAATTTCTAAAATGTATCCAGTGCCCTTTTCTTATTAAGCACACAGTGGGGGGTGTGAGAGAAGTCACCCTCATGATCTACCCCCTAGTGCCTTCCAGAAAGTGCCCCCTTCACCCCCCGCAGCAGTGACCTGTATCCCACTGCCCCTGCCCCATCCTGCGGGCATTTCTCCCGCCTCTTCCTGCTCATTCCAGTTTCCTGGTCTCCTCTCTATCCCTATTGTCTGCTCCAGAAGCTCTCATCTTGTCCTTTCTAATCTGCTGTTCGTTAGCCGAGGATTAACGAAATTTTGCCTGGGGGAAGAAAGCAACCAAGCTTATTAAATCACAGCCAGAGTAGATACACAATTTTAAGCCGATCAGCTTCGGGGTGATGCCTGGGGTGGCCCCACAGCCTTCTCCTGGGGCAAAGTACCAGAGCCGTGAACAGCCTGGACTTTCCCTGCCTGGTGTGAGGCCTGCAGCTGGGACTGATGACCATGCTGATAAGCTTTGATCATAAACAGAAGCACAGAGGCAGCCCACAGCGAGGGAAGGGCTGCTTAGAGGGAGAGCTTGGTCCAGAAGGTGGAATAAATATTCCTCCTCTCCCCTCTCTCTGCCGGGCCTGGGCGGGTCTGGACCTGCAGAGAACATGGTGGACGTGAGGGCGCTCCCCCTTGAGGAAGCAGCTGCCAGGGCCACAGGTGGGAGAGCAGCCACGTTCCTCCCTCAGGCCTGCAGCTGAACACACCTCCCTTTCCTGGCACCAGGCCTTTGCCAGGAGAAGAAGGTGCACTTGGGTTCATCTTTTAACTCCTGTTGGGCCTGCACGTTGGGGCAGCAGGAATTCCACCATCGCTGTTTTACAGATGGAGAAACTGAGGCTCAGACAGGGGGTGGCTGTGCTGCAGCGGGTGGAGGCCCTCGCCCAGGCCCGTGACCTCATGTACCCAGAGAAACGTCTGTACATGCGCAAAAGGAAACATGTGCAAGGGTGCTAAGTGCAGGGCCTTGGGAGCAACCCAAGCAGCCTAGGGCAGGAAGACAGAGGAATTCAGGGTGGTATGGCCGCTCCATGGAACATTACGGGGCAGTGAAAACAAACAAGCCACAGCTGCACG